GAACGCTGTGGTTTTCAAACCTGGACGTTCGGGGCTTTAGCCTCGGATGTTTTGTGTCGCGTTGAATCCTGCGCAGGCGTCTGGAGCTCCAGATTCACAGAAACTAAACTGAGACGCGTCGGAGACTCATTCAAAACTCCCACGAGGACTTTGCAACTACTCTGGGACAAAACGCGTTGCACTTTATTTGAACATGTTCAAAAATTCAAGACAAAGCCGTGAGCCTCTGCAACTCGGAGACTAGTCTCCGACGGTTGCGCACGGGTGAGATACGACCTGTAGCCGATCGCTCGAATAAATGGAACAAAATCACATCATCAGTGCGTTCAGGACTCTGTCGCTCGGTGTGCCACGAACCCGCCGCCCTCCCACCTTCGCTGGGCCTGTGTGGAAAGCTGCAGAATCTGGTGGCAGACAGGAAGCTCTTATTGTACTCGTGCAGCGACACCAGAGCCAGACAGCATACTGGAGCGATGTCATCGCTGGCAGGGCCAGGCATATCTTTGTGCTTGCTCACCACGTAACAAAGACGTAAATAAACACGGTTACCCCCGCTGGTCTTCAGCTGTCAATTTGATTAGGCAGAGCAGTGATTGAAAACCCCGGCTCGTGTTTTTCCCAGCCGCTCTGATTTACCTCTGACCCCCGCGGCTCGTGCCTGAGGTGATTTTCTTTATTAGTCCGTAGGGTCAGTATTTAGCCTCGTAGGCATCGGTAGCTGGCTCAAATCTGCAGAGTCAACATTCTGCCTTCCTGGCTGTTAGCTGCATTAGCACACTGAAGCTGAACAGCCCTTCCACTCCCACTCTGCAAACATCCTCCCTGAGGCCAGATAACATCTCGGTCCCGTTCGTTCACGAGCCCAGCCTGGACCCAGACCTCCTGCTTGTGATGAGGTGGGGCAGTTTCAAACAAAACCTTTTCATTTTAAATACGGGAGACGAGAATGGATAAAACAGCTTGAAACGGTTGTTAAAATAAGAAAAATACTAATTGGTTGTTACAATATTTTATTTATATAATTACTAACTGTAATCAGTAAATTTAGAATGAACAAACTTCCCATTATTCAGACATTTGTTTAAATTTACTCTTTTTCAAAGTTTCAATGCACCTACAGGTAAACTCAATGGGATCTACCTGTCTAAATAAAGGTTGAATGAAAAAACTAGAATTATTTAAAGGAATGCATATTCTCTGCAGTGTAACATTAAACAAATCATGTGTGGTGCGTTAGCCTTCAGAATGTGTGATGAGGATGACTCTCAGGCACAATCACACCAAGTTTTAGCTTAACATCTGCTAAACTGATGGAGTTATAATCCTTTGTGTTTGCACAATGGGTTAACTGTAGAAGCCATCTTACATTGGATTGGCTCCAAATTTTAAACAGCTGTAGATGTGCACTCAAAGATTGATTTTTGAGAGTTTAATTAAAATCCGTCCTACAGTTCATGCACTATTTTGCTAACAGACAACCGCGCCTATATAAAGGTAACTAGAGAACTTGCATTACGGTGAAAATGCAGTGAATGCTTATTGCTAAAAAAACAGCTGAAATTAGCATGGTGAAATGTAGCTGAAATGGAAGAACAAGCCTAAATTAGCAGAACAAAACAGAAGACATATTTGCTGAATTTTGTTTAAATAAACAGAAAAATTAAGAAATTAGCAAAAAATAGCTGAAAAGTAGCTGAAAAGGCAAATAAAAGCTTTAAGCTACCAGAAGGAAGTGGAAGGATATGAAATTGGCTAAAAAAAATGTGGAATTAGCTTAAAAAGCTAAACTTAACATAAGCAGCTGAAATGGCAGAAAATGCTGAAACTAGAAGAAAAGCTTAAAGTAGCAGAAATTACCACAAAAAATTGAATTTATCAGAAAACAGCTGAAATTAGCAACAAAAAAAATGCTTTAAAGCTATAGAGAAAAAGAAGAACAAGCTTAAGTTGGTAGAAAACAAGCAAGAAAAAAACATGTTTACCCATTTAGGCTGAAAGAAGCAGAAATGAGCACAAAAAAAGTTGAAATTGTCAGACAAAAGCTGAAATTTGAAGAGAAAAAAAAAAAAGCTGAAAAGTAGGTATAAAAAGCCAGAAAGCTTAAATTACAGGAAGGAAGTGGAGAGAGCACACGTTTGCTGAATTGGGCTGAAAAAAGTTTAAATGAATGTAAAAAGTTGTGGGAAAAAAAAGACACTGAAAGGAGCACAAGCTGAAAGAAGTTAGAAGAAGCATAAAAATGTTGAAGTTAGCAGAAAGAACGTAAAGCGTTCGCTTAAATTAGCTGAAAGTAGCTGAAAAAAGTTTAAATTTGCAGAAGGAAGCTGAAAGAAGCTGAAGCAGAGCAAAATGTGAAAGGAGCAGTAAACGGTTGTAAACACATCTAAAGATTTGAAGGAAGTAAAATGAGCTCGATTCATTTTCTACGAGGAATAAAATGACAGAAAAGGCTAAATATTTCAAAAAGCTAAAGTTGCACCGATACCAAACGTCATAGCGCCCTTCTCCTGAACAAGCTGAACGTTTTGATTTATAATTTGTTGCAATGGTGCAAAAATTGTGGAACTATGACCGCGGTGAACACCTTTCATGGCAGCCGGTGGTAACAGGTTAACTGAGAAATGACTAAACGTTGTTTTCCCACAGGAAACCACGCATTGTTTAATTAGCAGCCTCCAAATGTTCATTCACTGCGGCTTCCCTCCGACATGGCTCCCTCTTCGCTTCTTGTTTGCATTTTTCTCAAGCTATTCCACCCATTCATTTGCTGCTGCGCCAGAGAAAGAGCAATTACACAGGGGGGGAATGTGGTGAGGAGTGAAAACGGGTCATTGTGATAATCCTCTACGAGGGATTTACAATCCGCACCAGATAGAGAAAACGGTTTATCTCTTTGTTTCTCACTGCAGATTTCTTTCTTCATCCTCAAACAAAACTGAGTGTGACTTTGAGCAGAGATAGAGCTCAAAATGTAGGACTTAAACAAGTGCGTTCTTATCTGAGAGGCCTCTGCTCCCACAGAAGGAGCCGCAAAACAATGATGGGACCCCCCTTCCATCCAACTGCTTTTACCCCCCCCCCCCCACACACACACACACCTGAACCTAATCTCTCAGGGCATCTTGGCTATACAAAACCCGTAAACCTGAGTAAGGTGATGCCATGTTGGTGGTGGTCTCTAAAGGACATTTGGGACAATAGATCAAATACGAAGGAAAATACAAAGAGGCTTTGAAGCATTGTTGTTGGTCTCTTCTCTCTGTTGCTCATGCCCACCGTGACACCCCCCCCCCCCTTCCTCTGCTCCTGGTATCTCCCTTGTTATCTAACCCAGTGAAAGTGGCACATTTGAGGAAGGGGGAATAAACTACTAACTCACTTACCTGTGACTCGGATAACACGACTAAATACTGTAGATGAGGTCCTGTCCCAAGTGGACA